TTAACCTTCAGCGTGGGAGAGGATGCTCAGGTCACATTTGTGCACCAACAAACTTTCAAATTACAATGGGCCCTGGGTCACTTGAAAATAATCAAAACTTGAAATCTTAAATCCTCAAATGCCAAGGGTCTGCTGTTTAACATCAAGGAACTTTGCTACTGCCTGCAATTCTCTGCAGCTCTAATGATGCCCCCACGCCAATTCCCCTCCACAGTGGAGCCAGCCTCTGCTCTTGAATGCTTCGGTGGATGTAACCTGGTCTGTCCCATGAGGAGTGGGCAGGGGATGTTTGCCTTAGCACAGAGATCGGCAAACTGCTTCCATAAAAGGCCAGATAATAAATCTCTTCAGGATTGAGGTCACTATTGCAACAACTCAACTCTGCTGTTAACTGATGATGTCAGGTTAGCTTCTTTGGTGAAATCCTCAGAATGAACCTTCTCTTGCCACCTCTATGCATATGTCTGGGAAGTAAGGCATAATGGTTAAGAGTCTGGCTCTGGGCATCAGACAGACATGAGTTTGAGTCTCAGCATTACCACTTACTAGCTGTGTGACTTTTGGCCAATTACTTTACCTCTCTCAACCAGCATGGCCAGGGCATCTCCAAACAGAGTGGACGCTGGCCACAGTGCTGGGGGAGGGTCTGGGAGGCCCCTTTTGCTGGCTCATGGGAAGATGGTGGGTTCACAGTGGAAGGCCAGGGCAGCTGGGGCCATGGAAGGGAACTCATGGGGCTCCAAGTAGCACTTTTTACCAACTGTTCTGGAATATTTCAATAATTTGGCTGTACTGGTACATACCAGTTGAATATCAGTCCTATTACTCATTATTATTGGCAAAGAATTTGAAGTTTTCAAGGATTTCATTCTTCTTGAATCGACAATCAATGCCCATAGAAACAGCAGTCAAGAAATCAAAAGACGCATTACATTGGGCAAATCTGCTGCAAAAGACCTCTTTAGAGTGTTAAAAAGCAAAGATGTCATGTGGATGAGTAACGTGCACATGGCCCAAGTCAAGGTATTCTCAATCGCATCATATGGAAGGAAGAACAAAGACTCAAAGGAAGATCAAAGAAGAATTGACACATTCAAATTGTGGTGTTGGCAAAGAATATTGAGGATACCATGGACTTCCAGAAGAATGAACAAATCTGTCTTGGACGAAGTCCAGCCAGAATGCTCCTTAGAAGCAGGGATGGCCAGACTTCATCCCACTTACTTTGGACACATCATCAGGAGGGAATAATTGCTGGAGAAGGACATCATGCTTGGTAAAACAGAGGGTCAGTGAAAAAGAGGGAGAGCCTCAACAAGATGAAGTGACATAGTGGCTGCAGCAGTGGGCTCAAACATAGCAACGATTGTGAGGATGGCGCAGGACCAGGCAACAGTTCGTTTTGTTATACAAAAACCGACTGGAGGGCACCTAACAACAACAATAACAACTCATTATTATGCCAGATCCATCCTGGACTTGAACTTCTCCCTGGTTTCTGTTTCTACTGGCTTAGTCCACTGCGTCCCTGCCACTCTGACTGGGATCTCAGGAAGGGGAGGGGGCTGTTTTGCAATGATCTTAGTGGTTTCAGTGCTTAGTAACAGCTTCTGTTTCTCTTAGCAGTTTCCACTGGGTCTGGGACTTGGCTGGCATTTCCTGGGCCTGGTGTTCGGCAGGACTTGTTGGGGAAGCAGTGCTTTCAGCTAAAGCAGCTCAGCAGGTCAGGAGCTGTGGCCGCTCTGACCCTGTGCTGCCGTTCACAGCTGGGCCTGGAGCTTTGGTGCTCACCTGGTGTTTAATTCACCTGGTGATACAATAAGCAATGCTTGTCACTGCGGGGCTCTTCTCTCCACTTGAAACAATCAGAAGGTTTGTCTGGCTGCTTCCTAAGCCTGCCCCCAGGCCTTCTGGTCTTTTATTCCAGCCCCTGAAAGCTTTTTTCCAATCCTGAGATGCTCATTTATGGTTTCAGTAATAGAATTTGCATCCTTAATGTCTCTCCATTGCCCGGGGCTGTCCACGTCTATTAATGGCAGTCCAGTGAAATCGAGACTTTTATGGCACCTTATCTTTCTGCTCCCAGCATTCTCTTTTCCTGCTTCCTGAGTGTTCATCACTATGACCTGGGGACGGGACCACATGGGTCCCAGAGTCCCTGGAATTTATCTTAATTAGGTGACATCTGGTACTGCCCTTGCAGTCCATGTGTGCACCCTGGTCACGCAGCCTAATGCCATTCTTTCAGCCTGGGCTGTGCCTGGCCCTGCAGGCTTCTTAAAGACAACAACTCTGTGAGCCCTGGAGGTTCATCCGAGGGGGCAGTTCTGACCTGGTTGGGGTTCAGCGAAGATCAAAGTTGACTCTGGGGCCGAGCTCCCTCTCTCACTTCCTTTTCATTTTCTGGAGGCTGTTCATAGGTCTCATGGTATCTCTGGCTGGGCGTGGAGCACTTGCAGCAGAGCAAGCTGGAAACCAGGCCCTCTGCCCTGAGGCCTCCTCTGTTGGCCAGAAGGATCCTGGCTGTGGGATGGAAATGACCTTGTGCAAAGATATCTTCATCACATGCCCTTCTGGGTGTAATACCGCAGGGTAGCCCCTGATAAGGCAGTCAGTATGGGTGCCTGCCCCAGCCACTCAGCATAGCCGTCCCTTCCTCCCCAGGAGGCCTCCAACACTGGTGGTGAAAGCCCAGCCCTGCACCTCTTTTCTAGCCCAACTATTGCTCGTTTTGAGAACCACCTCTGTCTTCTCATGTTTTTCCCCTTCCTGGATTATCTTTCTGAAATACCACCCTGCCCCATGCTGCTCAGAACCTGTGCCCATTCAGACCCTGGGCTGAGTTCCCAAAGGAACAGAGGTCAGGTCCTACATTGTCCATCCCCCCCGCCTCCTGCCCCCACAAACACTCCAGCTGTCCTCCATACTCCTCCAAGCTCCTTCACCAAGTACTTGTTCACAGCTAGGTTCCCGCCCGGGAGCTGGGCAATCAATCCCACACACAGACGTCTGCTCACCCCTTTTTGGTCTTCCTGGGGGTCCAGCCATTGGGACCTCTGCCCTCCCTCCGGAGAGAGCCAGGGATGGTCAACAAAGGAAGAAGATGATTCATCAAGTAGTGAGAGTTCGCCCAGCAAGTGGGGAAGAAGCACCGCAGGGGGCTGCTGGGGCTCTGCAAGGGTGAAGGATCCTAGTGCATCTCTCAGGGAGAGGTTGCCTTATCCTGGAATCCCTTCCACAGCGTCCCAGTGACGGAGAGCTCACTATGTCCCTGGGCAGCCTTGCCTGGCCTTCCTCTCACAGCTCCACAGCTGGAGAATTTTGAGGGCACACACTCGGCTCCTTCTTGTCTAGCTGGTCGCAACCTCTGTATCTTTTGTCTCAGACAAGACCCCCTCACACGTCAGCACTGACTAGGCTACTTCGCACTTCCCCCTAGGCAGGACCTTACCCTCTGGCTCAGCCTGGACAACCTCCCACTTCAGCCACTGAACTTTCTCCCCTTGCATTTGGGGCCACAACAGTAAACACAGATACTCGCCTCATTCCCCACTGGCAGAGCTGCTTAGCAGAACTGGATGAAACAGCACAGCAGGATGCAATAATTGGGTGTAGGGGCTGACATGGAGTCCCTGGGTGGTGAAACGGTCAATGTGCTCGGCTGCTGACCTCAAAGTTGGCAGATGGAGTCCATCTAGAGGCGCCTTGGAAGAAAGTCCTGGCCACTGAAAACCCTATGGAGCACAGTTCTACCTGACACCCATGGGGTTGCCATGACTTAGAATCCACTCCACTGCAGCTGGGAGGGACTGACATAAGGAGGTTGGAAGCAGAGGCCTAACTAGGGGGTAGGGGGGCAGGTAGGGTGCCTTGCCCTGGGAGATGCTTAAGGTGTGGCCCCAATTGGTGGTCTCTATTGGCCAGCACAGTTTCTATAGCCAGCTGTGAGAGATCATTCAGCAATTTAACACTAATAGACCCCTGCCTGGAAGGCAGGAACAATTGAACTTTGGCTCAAAGGAAAAGCAAAGGAAGCACACTGAGCAGACAGCTTCTAAAACTCCTCCCCAGGAAGAAACTGCGGCGTCCCCTGCTGGTTGGAGGAGTGTTTGCATGCAGGTTAAAGTCACTGCCCTCGCTCCTCTTCACAAACTCTTAGCTGACCCCTGATTACCAGGACTAGAGAATCACAGGAAGTCACAAGTACAAGAAGCAGATAGGTCACCTTGTCCAGTGGTTTCCAAACGTTGAAAATTATAGATATGGCTGCTGTGGACGGTTGTGCATTTTGCCCATTTGACAAATGCCTCTGAGCTAAAATCTAGCCTGTGTTCTGCTGACTGAGTTGTGTATCCCAGAGTGGATCTGGGCCAGCCCAGAAGAAGGGCCGCCTTTCTGTAACTGATTTGCTTAGAGAGGGCATCTTTCTGTAACTTGCACAAAAGTGCCATACATACTAGCAGCAGCCCTGGCATAGAATGCTTCCTTCCAAGAGGGCAATCTTATAAAATCAAGCTGCTTTAGTTAAAGGAGAGTTTGAAAACGAACTAAAAGATGGGGAAACTGAGGCTCATGAAGGGGAGGGACTTAATCATGCAGTTAAAGGCAGGACAGACCTTAGAAGTTAGAGCCTCTCTCTCTCAAAGCAGTGTTCTTTGTACCACATGGAGCTAGTCTTCACACCAAGCCCCCTTGCAGGCATCCTGGCTTCTCTGACACCCCCATCCTCAGTCCCATCAACTTCCCACTGAAATCCAGCTAGTCTGCACAGTCTCACTTTCGTACCAGGATCATGGCACAGCACTCGCCCAAAAGGAGGGATGATGAGAATGCCAGCCCCTTCTGCATCCGTTCCTACATGTGCCTCATTCACAGGGATGAGGACAGACATGTGGAAGGGCAGAGTGATGAGAAACTAGTGGGGCCCACTAGATGGGGTGTCAAAGTATGATGAGGAGCCGTGCCTGGAGCCATGTGGCTTGGTAAAATTGGCCACTCAGCTACTGGGCAGGCGGGACCTGCTTTGTCGCTGCAGTCCGTGGGGATGTCTGTGCCACACCGTAAGGCACATGGGCAGCCACCGTGCCCATCTCCTGAGCCCCAGCCACGTGGAACATCTGGTCATCAAAGAAGATGTGTGGGCGGATCTTCTCGAGGAGGGGGCCCTTGGGTGCTCCAGCCAGGAACAGAGCCTCATCCGTCTCCAGGCCCCAGCTGCGCAGGGTCTTGAGAGCCCGGGCACCAGAACTGGCTGCACTGCGCGCTGTCACCAAGTAGGTGCGGATTGGGCACTCCAGCCGTAGGCCCTTGGAGTAGAACTTCTTCTGCAGCCTACCCAGCGCCTCCAGAAAGCCCTTTAGGGGGCCCTATGAGAAGGCAAAGGAACATGTGAGCTCATCCCTCTCCCAAACACGCCCCTCCCCTCCGGCTGGGCTCCCTCCCTTAAACGTTAATGTCGTGCAGTTAGGGGTGGGACAGCTTCTTGGGCTCCCTAAATCTTTTAGTTCTGCTATGCGTGGAGGTTCAGTGGTAGAATTCTCCCTTTTCATGCAGGAGACCCGGGTTCAATTCCTGTCCAATGCACCTCATGGGCAGCCACCACCCATCTGTCAGTGGAGGCTTGTGTGTTGCTATGATGCTGAAGAAGTTTCACCAGAGCTTCCAGACTAAGACAGATTAGGAAGAAAGGCCTGGTGATCTACTTCTGAAAATCAGCCAATGAAAACCCTATGGATTGCAACAATCCCATCCACAACCAATCACAGGGATGATGCAGGACCAGGCAGCATTTCCTTCCGTTGTGTATGGGGTGGACATGAGTCCAGGGTCAACTTGATGGCACTTAACAACAATGACAACAGCATGCCTCCTGGAGGCACTGTGTGCATCATGGGACTGTAGGCATCTGTGCAAGTCTGGGTGTCTGTAGTACGTGATTAAGACCATCTGGGTCAGCATAACTGTACCAGGGCAACTGTAACTATGTATGTCCATCCATGTGCCCACCAGGTACATGGGGGTCTTCCCTGTAGCTCTATAAGTGTGGCCGTCTGTGCCCATCAGAGGGAGGATATTAAAAATATTGAACAACGACAGCATGGGTACCCTCCAATCAGAATAGACTCCAGCTGTGAACAACTGGGACAGATGGACTGATGTGTAACTGCTGAATATCAGCCCTGCCCATCGGGCACACAGGTGTCTCAGGGTATCATGCTCAAGCACCCTAGGGTGAGGGAAGGGATTTATTCTCACAGTGCTCAGATCAATGAAACTTAATGAGGACTTGTGAGTAAAGAACCTGAGGATGATGAAGAAGAAAACTGTAACAGCAGTTGGAAATAAGGAAAGGTGGGTTTCTAATCTTGGAGACCCCTCACTTGCTGGGTGACCTGGAGCAAGCAGTGGTCTCCTGGGCCTCTTCCCAGGAGTGCGAAAACTACCCCGCCCTGGGTTCCCAAGGATTTCAGAGGGAACCAGCGAGAACAGAAGTGAAACGAACACTCCGGAGCCACACTGAAGCCCTGGGACCTGCTGAGCTCGTGGCAGAGAGGGGCTCTAGGATGAATGAGCACCCAGATTTTTGTTCAGAGCACAAAGAGCAGCTCCCAGGAGGGCTGGAGAATCCCAACAGCTCCAACCCTTGGGAGTTTCCAGCAAGCTCCAGGGTATATTCTGCCCTCAGGGAGACACCGAGCAGTTTGAGGATGAGTGAGGGTCCCTGAGCCCCCTGGCCAAAGGATGGATAGCAGGAGGTGGGGAGGGCTGGTGAGAGTCCTCCAGACCCCACACCCAGCTGGGCCTCCCTGCCTCAGTAAGTGGTGCCAGTCCTTTCCTCCAGTGAGGGGAGCAGGGGCTTCTTGAGGGGATGGGGCCTTACTCAGAGGGGTGAGGGAATCTCAGAGAGGGAGTAGGGGTATCAAAGAGGGGATGAGGGCTCCAGAAAGAGGATGGGGCATCAGGGAGGGTGTAGAGAGCTCAGGAAGAGGATGGAGGTCTCAGTGAGGTGATAGAGGCTTTTCAGAGACAGAATGGAGGCCTAAAAAGGGGAGATGGGAGCTTCAGAGAGGAGATGGGGCTTCAGTGGGCGGGGGAGGGGATGTGGAATTCAGGGATGGAATGGAGACCTCAGAAATGGATGGGGCTTCAGAGATGCAATGGGAACCTCAGAAAGGGGATTGGAGGTGCAAAGAAGGGATGGGGGCTTCAGAGAGGGCCTTAGAGAGAGGATGGGGCTTTAAGGAGGGTAGGGCTTCAGTGAGCGAGGATGAAGGGATGGAAGCTCACTGAGGAGAGTCAGGGCCAAGCGAGAGGGATGAGGGCTGGAAGCTTGCTGAGGGGACCTGGCTGGATTCTGGGCTGAGCCTGGGGTTTGGTTCTGGGCTGAGGCTCAGTCCAAGGGCAAGTTCTGAGGCGCTGCCTTGCTCCACTTGGGGGTTCCAGGGACTATGTGGAGCACCTGGGCCAAGGGTTTGTTCTCATGGGCCTTCTCATGCTCGAAGAATCTGTCCAGCCCATGGGCTTTGACGATGCGCTCCGACTCGTCTGAGAACAGCACGGCGTCCCCATCGAAGGCCACGCGCAGCTGGGTCTGGGACACAGCCACATCCCTGCTGGGGCTGAAGACGGTGGCAGCTGCAATCCCTGGGTGGAGAGAGGCAAGCGTTGGCTGGCCCTGGCTGGGCATTAGGGGCCCTCCTGGAAACCACCTCAGCTGCATGGGGGCAGGGGAGGGCTATCTCAGGTTATCCTTGCCCCACCTGCTCACCCAGGACTTAGTGCCAGGCTGATGTTATGGACTGAATTGTGTCCCCCCAAAAAATATGTGTTGAAATTTTAACCCCCGTACCTGTAAATATGACCCACTTTGGAAGCAGGGCTACTTTATTTCGTTATGTTAATGAGATCGTACTAGAGTAGGGTGGGTCCTAAACCTAATCATGTCTGAGTTGTAAAAAAGCAGAATAGACACAGAGCCACACACAGGGGGAAGACAGATGCCATATGGAGACGGACACACACATAGATGCATCTACAAGCCCAGGAGTTCCCACAATGGCTGGCTACTAGAAGCTGAAATAGACAAGGAAGGACTTCCACCTAGAGCCATGCCCTGAATTCAGCCTTCTAGTCTCCTGAACTGTGAGAAAATAAATTTCTGTTCACAAGGTCACCCACTTGTGGTGTTTCTCTTAAGGGAGCACCAGGTAACTAAGATAGCTAATGTGGGCTGATTTTCAAAATATGTAAAAAGAGGGAGGACATGGACACTGACCAATAAGAGTGGACACTGGCTGTCACTGTGAAGCAGGGCTCTGAGGGCCCTGCCTATGTCAGGGTTACCCCTTTAGTTGCTGCTTTGTGGGGAGGTCTCGGGGCGGGGGGTCCCAGGGTAGCAGGGGGACACTCAGAGGGCTCAGGGCAGGAGCTATTGACCAAAATGATGTGGAGGAATCTCTACACTTAAATACATAGTAAGGCCAGGCTGGTGCGTACCAACTGAATACCAGTCCTGGCTGGAGGGTCCCGCAGACCACTGCTCTCTGCCAAGGGTTCTCTGCAGGTTCCCATGTAGACATACAGGGGGCTGGGAGGAGGCCCTGACTCTGGCTTGGCCTCAGGTTCTCCCTCACTATTGATTCTGGCAAGTTATTCACCTTCTCTGGGTGTAGGCAGAATTAGTGGCCTCTTCAGCTCTGTCTGGGGCTGAGATCCTAGGGTGCAGTCTAGGGTGGGGTGGGTGTGGGCACCCTTGGTCTACTGTCACAATGGCACCCAGGCATGCCCTACTGAGGCAACCTGGCCATTCAGGGTTCCTTGAGACAACACAGGTGGCCATGGCAGGCAGCACTAGCTACATCTGACTGTGCACGGACTCTCTGCAACCCTGGACTTCTCCAGGGCATCAAGGGTGCCTGTTGGGGACCCAGGCTCCAGGCTAGAGCTGCGCTGGACAACAGACAGCAAGTTCTAGGAGGCTGGAAACCCCCTTGTTATCTCTCCAAACTCTAGTTCCGCCCTGCTCTTTGGGAATCTAGGATCATAGGGGCTGGGCTCAGGAAGAGGTTTGGGGGGAGTGGTAAGCAGGGCCAGCCTCACAGTTCTTTATAGGAGGATGCTGTAAGCAGGAGCAGGCACTGGGTTTCAGGCCAAACACCTGCTCAGCTCTGCCAACGCTGGAGCCAAGATGAACCAGAACCACCTCACCTTGAGCAGGGCCCCTTCCCAACTACTCCCCTTCTCCCTAGCCCGAGGTCAAATTACAGACACACAGAGTCACACATACACACTAGCGCGAAGGCCTTGACCAGAGGGTGCGCCATTTGTCTAGGAAAATGGCTTTTGGTTCCTGGTTAAAGAAAGCCTTTTGGAGCTCCCAAGCAGCTCAGAGGAGTAAGGCAGCAGGGAGAGAGGACAGGCTTCCAGGCAGGAGCCAGCATGGAAGAGGAAGAGAAAAATGAATATACTGTTGGTTGATAAAGAAACCCACCACTAGTGTTTGGCCTGAGGAGCACTCTCAGGTAGCTGGTCAGTCTTTCCTTCTTTGTGGGCTTGTTTTCTTCCAGGTGCAATAGGGACACGCACCCTGTTGAGAGGACTGAGACTATGCTGTCACCTAAAACTGCCCCATAAAAGAGACACGTGGTGGGGGAGGGGGAGAGTCTCTTTGTCAGTACTTGTAGCTGGGTCTCCTAACCTCACCCCAGCACTGGCCAGCTCAGCTTCTGGAGATGCTGGTCATTTCCCAGGCCCACCATTCAGGCTGGGCTGGGTACATACGTCCCTCCCCATTGGCCCAGAGAGGGGCAGAAGCTGACCAGCATCACACAGGAATCAGAACACCTGGGCTGACCTGAAGGAATCTTAGAAAGGAGTGGCTGTCTGGGCATTACGGAGGATTTCCATGGAAATAGTAGACTGCGAGATGCTGATGAGTTAAAGCCTCCTCAACATAGTAGGGCAGGGGGTAGGAGAGTGGGATAGGTGGGGACATATTCTCAGAGTTTACAGGACAGGTCATTAGGAATTAGGAGGCACTGCCACCCCTTCCAGTTACTATAGCAACCCCCAGCACCTGCTCAGAGCTCTAGGACCAGCCCTTCCACCTCTGGGACCTCTTTGACAGACTCCCCATATACTCCCTCCCCAGTCTGACATACCCTCATCAATGGCTTCCTGCACTTTTTCCGCATCAGCTGACAAGTAGAGGTTGGTGTGGTAGGCCTTGAGGTAGCAGATGGGGCTGTTCCCACCCGTCATGCAGAACCTCTCGATGAACAGGTCTGGAGAAGAGGTAGAGAGTACTGAAGTGAGGCCAGGTCAGCCTGAAGGGCCTCACAATAGCCCCTGTGTCCAAAGGGCACCATCTTGGTTCTGAGTGGTGGTGATGGTGGAGGGCAGAGTGATTCTCTGTGTACTTTTAGGCCAGCAGTCCTCTTCTCTGAGCCCCTCCATCCTTCATCCATGAAATCATCCCTCTGGAGCAATTGCCTGGCTCTTAGTAACACCCTCTTGCCAAGGAATCATAGTACTGCAAGAAGTGGGGCTTGCAGCCGTGACTGTGGTATGTGATCCTGCCCTCCTGGTCATAGCTGACTGGATAAGAGACGAACACCTGACACAAGCTGGGCCAATCAGATTCTTTTTCCTAGCTTGGGTTTATAGTTAGCTAATACCCATCAGTATGGGGTCCCTGGGTGGTGCCAACAGTAAAGAGCTTGGCTGCTAACCAAAAGATCGGTATTTTGATTCTACCCTGTGATGGCAACGGTTTTTTGTTTTTGTTTTTGTTTTTCAGCATCTTGGAAGAAAGTCATGGCAATCTAATTCCAAAAACTCAGCCATTGAAAACTCTACGGAGCACGGTTCTACTTTGACAGGCACGGGGTCACTATGAGTTGAAATCAACTCCATGGCAACTGGCTTGGTTTGACCCATAAGCATAGGTGCTGGGGTTGCTCTGAGCCCACTGAGTTACTCTATCACTACCCCAGACCCTCGCCCTGGACACTTATCCACGCTGGAAGGGATAATGCCTGGCACAGCAGGGGCCCTTCAGGACCCTGCTCCAGCACTACAGGGGGGATCCATTCTGATTGCTCAGAGCCTGTGTCACACAAGTGGTTAAATGTTTTGAATTTCATCCTCACTCCCAGCAGTTTGAAATTAGGATTAAAAAATGCCAATTCAACTCTCTTGATTGCTTAAAACAAGGACTTGCAAACTTGTAAATTTCAGCCATATTCAGGAAAAGCAGAGAGACCTAATTTGGGGAGAGAGAGAGAGGAAAAAAAAAAAAAAGGAACAGATTTGCCAAGAGAAGGAGAAAAAAGGGCTCATGTGGCCCAGAGACAAAAACAGCGCAGAAGCAATTTCTCATACTTGGATTCAGGCCTTTGTCTGGCCCTATTCCACTTCCTGCCCTGTGGTCTAAGCTAACCCATTGACCCGGTAAGCTGATTCCAACTCATAGCAACCCCATAGGACAGGGTAGAACTGCCCCATAGGGTTTCCAAGGCTGTAATCTTTACAGAAGCAGACTGCCACATCTTTCTCCTGAGGAGTGGCTGATGGGTTCCAATCACTGACCTTTCAGTTAGTAGCCCAGCGTTTAACCACTGGGCCACCAGGGCTCCTGTGGTCTAAGCTACACCCCTGTAAACCTAATAAATTATTTGCTTCAGCTTAAACCAACTCTGGAGGGTCTGTTACTTTCAGTCAAGAGTTTGGACTAAGACACAAAGTGTTTTCACTCAAAGAGTGTCCCTGATCCTCCCAGCAGCCCAATAAGGCTTGTTAGCTCCATTACAGAGAGAGAAACTGAGACACAGAGGCAGCAGGTGCTCTGCCCAGTTCCTGCCTGTGAAGTGGTGTGCTGGAGCCTGGTTGTACTGGCTCGCAAGATCAATTGTTAAACATTCAGGATTTTTTGGAGCCAGTTAGGTTGTTCAACTGTTGGTAGCTTGAAATTAGCTATGGTGTGCATATTTATACCTTGAATGAAAATCAGCAATGCTACAAATCAGGGCATTTTGTTTTGTTTTGTTCTAGAGCCAGGTTACCAATACACCATGGAGCCTGGGGTTCCAGCCAGTATGACCTCACCCTGCTGTGCTTGTGGTCCCGTCCCTGGAAGTCGGGTGAGGGTGCCCCATGGCCGAGCCCCTCATGCTCACCATAGTGGTTGATACTATTGATGAGACGGACTCCCACTTGAGCGTGGTTGTTGGTCACGAGGACGATGTCAAAAAGGTCCTCACCATCGGGGTACAGCTCCCGCAGCCTGCTGTTCACAGCCTCCAGAGCCTGAATGGGAGAGGACACACACGGCTCAGATCCCAGATGTTGATACCTGGAGTTGGTGGCCAGGGTTGAGGAGGAGGGGCGAGAGGGGAGCCACTGGGAAGAGTAGGGGAGCGGGATGGGGAGTCAGTGGCCAGGCTTGGGATGAGATCAGTGGACGTGGACTACCTTCTCATTAGGCCGTTCTCTACCACTGCACAGGTTTTTACCACACAGGGGCACACAAAAGGGTGCGTGAGGGTCAAAAGCCAGCCCCTGCTCCACTCACCAGACGGGCTACCTGACGTTGTTGTTAGCTGCCGTCAAGTCACCCCGAAGTCATGGCAACCCCATGCACAACGGGATGGGATCACTGTGATCCACAAAGGACCGTCCTTTAGCCAAGCTGTGCACCTGCAGTGTTATGTCTGCCCAGAGGGGACCCCTTTTCCTTCCTCAAATACCCATGGGAGTGCCTTTTTCTAGGTACTGTATGGGCTAGTGGTAGGATTGCTCCCTCACCTTCACGAAGGGGAAGGCGGGCCCAGGGCTGAAGGGCTCATTCTCGTGTTCCAGCTGGTAGCGCACGTAGTCCTCCACGCCCTGCTCAGTGTAGATCCGCTGCTCCTCATCCATGCGGAACAAGGCTCGGGAAGACACAGCAATGGTGACTGCATTCTGAGGCTTAGGCTGCAGAGACATGGGAGGAAGGGCTGTTGCTCAGACCTCCCCTAAGGTAGGTGTGCATTTGCAGGCCCCCCAGGTACTGGGGACGTGGAGAAGACCAGGCCCAGCCCTTGCCCTAAAGAGGCTCAGCCTTGGGTAGGAGCAGATCTAGGTCAGGACCCCCTCTGTGCAGGACCCAGCTAGGGACTGTGGGGGATGATGGCTTTCCACCTAGGAGCACAGTCTGATGGGAATAACATGCCCTCAGGGAGTTTGCAATCCGGTAGGCCATCGGGACACAACAGAAAAATGAATACGACGTAGACAGCCAAAGAATGACTGATGTTCAAGATGGTCTCCAGATGGTTTCCATTATAAAATGAGAGCTACATGCCCTTAGGAAGAAATGATGCCTAGAAACATGACAATTATAGAAGAAAATTTATCTCCAGCCCAGATCTTTCTCCTGAGCTCCAGACATACATCTAACTGTACAGGTTGGCTAACAGTCAATCAAACTTGACATGTTGAAGGCTAAACTCCCACCACTTTCTCCACCCCCCACCGCTCATTCTCTCCCCTTTTCATCACTTCAATGCTAGCACCACTGTCCACTCCAACACCCAAGCCAGAAGCCCAGAAGTCATCCTCAACTCCTTTTCCTTATCAGTTAATCACCAAAACCTGTCAATTCTCCTTCTAGGCTCCATCCACATCTTTCTGTCTCCACTGTCATAGTCCAATGTATTATTCTGTCTCACCCACCCCTAATCTCTCCTCCAAATGATGTCAGAGGGGTTTTTTTTCTAAAATTCAGACCTGATAACTGTTCGCCTCTGCTTGAAACCCTTCCATGGTACCCACTTTTCTAAGAATAAGGTTGACAACCTTCAATATGGCACAGGAGGCCCTTCAAGACAGAATCCTACTCTCTCTCCACTCTCACCTACCCATTCCACAGCTTTGCTCATTTGGACCTTTCTCCTGTCCCTGAGCACTCCCTCACTCTCTGTCTGGGCCTTTGCACGTGATGTTCCCTCCACCTGATATGCTCTTTCCCTGACTCTATCTAGCTAACTTCTATTCAGCCTTTGGCCTCAAACTATATGTCACCTTCTCTAGTCTGGGTTTGCTGCCACCTCTATGGATTTCCCTTTTAATAAAATTTAACACTAAATTATGACTACTTGTTGAATTATTTTCTTTCTGGGCTGTAAGTTCTGAGGGAGCAGGATCATTTCTCTCTTGTTCATTAGTCCAGTGCTTAGTAGTGTGCCTGGCACATAGTAGGTGTTCAGTAAATCTTTGTTGACTGAATGGATGTCTCTGAACTTTTAAATGATGTATTTCAATGAGAAACAGTACTCACAATGAATCAAAAACTGTAAGTTTTACATGAAGTAGAAATTGTAGTGCAGTGCCCTAATCTGGTCAATTTGCTTGACAGATAGTAGGTGCTCAGAGAATATTTTTTGGTTGATTCAAATTTGACAAACATTTACAGGTTCTTTGTGCCAGGAACCTGTGGGCTCTGCCTGAGCGTGGTCCTGGTAGACACTTGGTTCCCATCCCCAGAGTACGCAGACTCACAGACAGGTCACTTGGATGCAAACAGGACTGAAATGAGTGTAAGGATAGAGGTGAAAGTGAAGTCTTGATGACAAGGGTTCAGAGGAAGTCATCATGGAAGAGGAGGATGCCTTGAAAGGGGAGTAGGGTGGAGGAAGGCAGGAGGAGGTGGAAACATGCACCGTGCATTCACAAAGGTGAGCAGAGCCAGGGTTTGTGGAGTGAGTGTAGATGAGCCCAGAAGGGTAGGAAGGGGCTAGATCAAAGAGGGTCCTAGTAGGGTCTCAAAGCTTTTCCCCCACCACCACTGGAATGGGGGGGGAGGGTTGCCACCGCAGATAGAAGCTGTATTCTCTATAATCCCCAGGGAGGATCAGGATGTGGGTGCCCAAGGGGTCCACAGACACCCAGAGAGTCCCACACCTCTCTGTGGCCTGCGCAGTCCTGGGATCATGACTCTGACTTCATAGATGAGGAAAGAGAAGCTCAACTTGGGAGCAAGACTCATCAGTGGACCTCACCTTCCGGCCTGCTCCTTATTGCTCTGTGAGACATGTATTCAACTTCACTGCTTCTCTCTGGGGTCAAGCCTGGACCCCAATCAGTGGCCCTGTCACCATGTGCCAGGCACTGTGCTGGGGACACAGCAGAAATGATCCTTGCCCCCACGAAGCTAATGGTCTATTCCCAAGGCAGAGATTTGGGATCGGTGCCATTCTTTAGAAGAGCGCTGTCCAATAGCACTTCCTGTGATGATGGAAATGTTCTACAATCTGTGCTGTCCAAAGAGGTAGCCACTAGCTGCATTTGGCTGTGGAGCACTTGAATTGTGGCTAGTGAGACTGAGGAACTGAATTTTTAATTGTATTTCATTTTAATTTGAATTTAAATAGCCCCATGTAGATAGAGGCAACCCTATTGAACAGCGCAGCTTTACAACTCCAAAGTAGGAACGGAAGACCGAGTTCTCTAAGCTCGTGTGGTGGACCTCATCTTGCATTTGACTTTTAACCCCAACCAAGATGGCGTATGTGGCCAGCAGGGTCGGTGTAAGACAGCAGTAGTGGACAGGTATCTCTCCTTCGAAGTGTAGCCCAAATGCCTCTCACAGTTGCTGACCACCGCTGTGTGTTTGTGTGTCTTTGGACTGGACACCTCCTAACCCCCTCGGCAGCTGTGAACTTCAAGCAAAGAAGGAAAAGTTAAAAGCCCTAAAGAAAAGAGGTGATAGAGGAATGGCAGGGATAATAAGCATTAGGGGAACAGACCCACTCTTACGAACCCAGGAAGCCATTAGGTCTTTAAGACAAAGGCTGAGCTTGCCTTGTCCCCTGAGCTCACTGCCCTAGGGACAGACTCACCACCTCTTCAAGGACAGAGAGGCAGCTGCCCTCCCAGCCCCCTCAGGCAGGTTCCCAAGCCGGCCACTCCAGCCCAGGCAATCAGCCAAGGTCTCGCTCCTAACTTTCTGTCCCACAGTCCCTGCCAGACGGCTGAATCCTGGGACCCTCTGGCTAAGCTAGCTACCCAGCTACCATCCCACCCCACCTCTGGCCATTGCAAGAAAAATTTCCTGGCTGCCTTGGCCCCAGAAGTATCTGGGGAAATAGGCCCAGGTAGGAACAGAGGATTACCCTAGGTCACACAGCAAAGTTAAGGCAGAGCCAGAATGAGATCCCAAGTTTCTGGCCTCAAGACTAGGCTCTATCTGCACAGCAGCCCCTCTGATGTGCCCATCCTTGATAGCCCCCAGAAGACCCTAATCCCTGCAACCTCTAAGACCTGGTGGTCAGTTACGATTGGTTCGTGACCATGCTGTACAGTTATTAAGTATTTTGAGTATCACCCTTGACATTTCTATTGAGTACTTACTGTGTATTATACACTGCAGTGAGCACATTAAGTTGGTTGTTGTTGTGGTTGTAGTTGCTGTCGAGTCAGTTGCAACTCATGGCCACCCCATGTGTGCAGAGTAGAACTGTTCTATAGGATTTTCAAGGCTGTGACCTGTCGGAAGCAGATCGCCAGGTCTGTCTCCTGAGGCACCTCTGTGTGGGTTTGAACCGCCAATCTTTTGGCTAGTAGTCAAGCACTTAACCATATAAATCTCACGATAACACAATGAGGTAGGTATTGTTACTCCCTCCCATCTTCCAGATGGGGAAACTGAGACTTAGGGAGGTCAAATGACTTGCCCAAGGTAATACAGCCAACCAATGATAGAGCCAGGACATGGCCATGGCTTCCGTATGACCCTTTCATATTCGGGAGAAACCAGACATGATTTCTCTCCTCCCTAGCTCTACCCTCCCGTGGAGGAAACTGGGTGGCACCAGGCAAAATCCTTCATAGGAGACCCTGGGAACCCAGATGTGAGGGGCGCCATGTCCTCAGACTGAGGCTTCTAAGGGCAGGACCCTCTTTCTCCTCGGACTGGTGGCCCCAAGGACAGATCCTGTCTCCCCACTCAGACTGCTCCCACACAGTACCAGTGAGGCAGGGTCTAAGGCCTAGGGGGCAAGAGCAATTGCAGTAAAGATGGATTCTAGCTGGGACATATGAGTGGCTTGGCGAGACTCCACAGAGCTAAAGGAGCAGATGAAAGGGGCTGAGGAGAAAGAGGCCAGAGCCGAGGTTGAGGAGGCGGTTGCTCAGGAGACTTCCAACAGCATCTAAGCAGGGGCCTAGGTCAACACTAAGTGCTTCACCCAGCCCCAAAGTGAGGCCCAACAGATAGGCCCCCGGAGGAGTAGAGATTGCAAGACAATGTGGCACTGGCCAGAGCAAAGCAGAAGGCAGGGCACTTAGGACTTAGAGACCCTCCTGGGTCTGGCCTCAGAGGAAGGCCACCTGTCATGTGTTGTCAGGTGTACCTAGGGACAGCTCCTCCAGAAATCAGAAAGAAGCCCAGGTCCCAGACTGGGGATTGGGTTAGAACAACCCTCATTCCAGACTAGGGCTCAGCCTGGAAGCTCTGGGCTCCAGGTAGCCAGGGTCTTGCCAACTCTCTCTGCCTCCCACAGGGGTTGGGCTACAGGCTGATTGCTCTGGCTTGGGGAATGTGGGTGGGGGATGATGGAGAGCAACCCAGCTCTATCTGGCCTGCCTGGGAAGCTCTCATTTAGGTCAACATGATTCTGCCTGTTGTGCCCAAGGTAGAAACAGAGTCAAAAAGCTGTTAGTGGGAGAAGTGCTGCTGTAGAAGGAGGGACTAGCTCTAGATTGAGGAAGTCCTGTGACCCCCACCCCCCACCTTCTAGGGCCTTCAGGGGTTAAATATTTTACTCAGGGCCTTTGGGAATGAGAATAAACTCAGGCCAGGCCCTGATGCGGCCCATGAGGCATAAAGCCCCCAAAATAACCTGTGGGAGAAGAGGGACCAGGAAGCCTCAGCCTCTGCCTCACAAAGAACCCAGGAAGGTTAGGGGCTATCTGAGGGGTCATGACTAACCACTGGGCCTGAGTTGCCAGGCTCCTCAGTGTTTGGGGGTGCCGAGGAGGGAATGGATTTTAAGTCCTGCTGCTCTGCTCATCTCCCCATCCTAATGCCCCTCCCCTCCTCTCCATCCCCCAGACCACCCATTAGTCCAGCTTCCTCCTCAGGCAGGGATGGCCTTCTCACTGGTCTGCCTGCTGCCAGCTTCACCTTCTCCAATCCATCCTCCATACCACCCCAGAGTGATCTTTCTAAAATGAAAATGGGACCAAGTTAATCCCCTGCTGAAAAATCCTGCAATAGCTCCATAATGGTTTTCATACTTTTTTTTTTCTAAGCAGCATGACCTTCTCTCCAAATGAGTTATTGGGTGGAACCCCAACATATGAACCAGGTATTACCATATTTTATTGGTATAAATTCTGTTTACGGATTCAAATGTATTACATGTATATGAATGTTCATTATAAAGTCCATCGGTGAGAACAACACGGTTGTTTGGATTACAACAAATTTGAAACTGGGGGTTAGGGTGCCAGTTGCAAAGTCAGTTTGTTTGGTTTTGGTTGCACGGTATTGAGGAGTCCTGATTCACACCAATAAGTGGTTACAGATGGCAAGAGGTTTTGTTTATTTGTTTGTTGTTTGAAACTACAGGCCTTGCAATTTCAAGACACTCTCCTATTTTTCTTTTTTAATTTTTATTTGTTTTGTTGTTGTTGAGAATATACACAGGAAAACATACACTAACTCAACAATTTCTACATGTACAATTCAGTGACATTGATTACTTTCTTTGAGTTGTGCAACTATTCTCACCCTCCTTTTCGGAGTTGTTTTTCCCACATTAACATAAATTCACTGTCCCCTAAGGTTCCTGTCTAATCTTTTGAGTTGCTGTTGTCAATTTCATCCCATATACGTGGTTCTTAAAAGAGCGTAATGCTCAAGGCAGAGATGTTTTATTAGTTAAGCTAAACTATTGTTTGGCTTTAAGAAGTCTTCAGGGATATTTTTGGTTTAAGGTTAAAAGATGATCTCAGGGCAATAGTTTGAGGGGTTCATCCAGACTCCATGGTTCCAGGAAGTCTGGAGTCCATGGAAAATCTGAAATTCTGTTCTGCATTTTCCCCCTTTTGATCAAGATTCTTCTATAGACTCTTTGACAAGATAATCTTCTATTAAACAAATCACAGGAAAAGCTTTATTCTGAGGTTTGCTAAAAAAACAAAACAAAACAAAACAAAACAAAAAAAAACAAACAACAACCAACCTGCAGCACAATATGTTGATATTCTCCAAGGGGTCCACCACCTGTCTGACAGTTTGTTGTACTGTGATGGCGTACATGTTGCTGTGATGCTGGAAGCTATGCCTGTAGTATTTCAAATACCACCTGAGTCACCTGTGGTGGACAGATTTCAGCAGAGCTCCCAGACTAAAACAGAAACCACCAGGAAAAAAGGCCTGGTGATCTACTTCCAAAAATGAAAACCCTATGAATCACAACAGAATATTACCCAACATAGTGCTGGAAGATGAGCCCCCTAAGTTGGAAGGCACTACACAATAGACAAAACAATGGATTCAGACATACCAACGACCATGATGATGGTGCAGGACAGGCAACATTTTGTTATGTTGTACATGGGGTCCTCATGAATAGGAGCCCATTTGACTGGCAACTAACAACAACTCCAAGGTGCTAAAATGTCCACGTAACACATCTGAGTGTGTTGGGTTTTATAACAAATTTTTAATTGTTTAAAACCTAGCTTGAAGAAGAAAGGCAATAAATTGGATTCACATGTATGTAGACCACCTGAAGATGGGGCTCCACGGAACCTTGTCTGGAAGCCCCTAGCCCCACTGAGTAAGGTCCAGACTTCTTAACACCGCACTCAAGGCCCTCCACAGGCTCTTTGGCATCCCTCCAACTCTCCTCCCAACGATGTTGCATTCTCTCACTCAGGCCTGATTCCAGAACACAACCTTCACTTTCACAGGCATATCCATGCCTTTTACTCCTGCTGTTTCCCTCCCTCTGCCTGGGAAATGCCTCCTACTCAAGCTTTAAGACCACTCAAATGCCATCTCTACAAAGCCAAAGCCTTCCCTAGTCCACGGTCACTTCCTCCTCTAGGCTCGCACTGCACTGCCTACAGTCTTTTACCTGATGGCTCACCATTTCAAGGGGCTCCATGAATGCACTGTGAGCTCCCCAGCCTGGGGACTCAGCCTAATTCATCTTTCAATCTCCCTTGCTGAGCCAGGGGCCTGGAGGTGCTCAGGAAGAGAACGCTGATAAAGTGAAAGATCATGGGGAGGGGTCTTTGGAGGGAAGCAGCAGGATGCTTTGAAGGCAGGCTCTCTGGAGGACGCCTCAGGTCCAGCCTGTAACATCAGTCCTCTCCCCAAGCTCGGAGCTCCTGGAAGCTGGAGTGAGCAAGGCCCAGGGCCGCACCAGGGCATCAGGAATCTGTCCGTAGGGGAGAGGAGCTGACTCCTCTGTATGAGTCCCTGGAGGGCTGAGACCCCTACGCGGGGCCGCGGGGGTACTGATGCCCATTGTGAGGGGAGGAGAGCCCGGAGCCACGGCGCCGAGTACAGCGTTGGGAGTCCGGAACCAGAAGCGCGGACACCTGGCCGAAGAGCACGGAGCCCAGTGCCAGGAATGAGCTGCCCTCTCCCCTTAGGGCGCGGGTAGCGCAGAGCTGGAGCCCAGAGCGCACCACCCTGAGCCAGAGCCCGAGCGCAGAGGTTCGGGTCCGGAGCCCAAGGCCTAGATGGCGGAGACCCGAGCGCACAGCAAGGAGCCAGGTTTCCAGAGTCGGGTTACCAGAGCCCGGGGTGCTTCCGCAGGCGCCGCTGACCGGCTTTGCCAACAAGTGCCGTCGCGCTCCCCAGGCTGCGCGCGCCGGGAGGGGCTGGGGCCACAGACCTGAGCTGGGCCCCGATGACAGCATGGGGGAGGGCGATCCTGGCGTGGAACCCGAGCCCGGGAAAAAAACACCGGTGCACAGCTCCCAAAATAAACCGGAGCCCGAGCCAAAGCTGGGCCATTCTGGTGCTGAAGGCTGCGTCCCCCTCCTCGAAGGGCGCCACAGATCCCTTCCCAAGGAGCTTACGACCCCTCCCCGGGGGCGCCCCTGCTGTTCCCTCCCTCTATACCTATGCCTTGCTTTTACCGATTTGGGTTTCTTCTTGGGCGTGAGGTTGTCGTAGAAAGTCTTGGCTTCTTCCCAGCGCGGGGCCGCGGCGGTCTCTGCCCCTGGCCCGGGCTTGTGGCGCTCCCGGGGCTCCTCAGGCTGCATGCTCGGGCTCTGAGCCCGCCCGGCGAGAGCAGGCGGCCGCGGAGACAGGGGGCTTGCGGGACTAGGCTGAAGGAGAGAGGCGCGTCCCGGGCGTGAGAAGGGGGCGGGCAGTGGTGCGGAGTGTGTGCCTGCGAGCCGACCGGAGGGCGGGGTGAGGGCTGCCCCGCCCGCCGGGGGAGGGGGGAGCGGTGGAGTGATAAACTCTCCCTCTGTTGCCTATGTGTTGCTGTTGTTGTTGTAGCATGCTTACCGGGGGACAGCTGAGCTCTTCTTCTCTGATCGCCTCTTGCCCGAAGTGATGGGAGAGCCCCTGCCTCCCCGGCGCTCTGGTGGAGGGGCTGCTGCGGATTCGAGATGTTCTTCGCAGGCGCTCAAGGACACGCGGAGGGTCTGATGACTTTCCCCCAGGCTGGTGATCCACAAAGGAGGAAAATGAAAAGCTAGCCTCCCTTCTGTCCCCTCTGAGCGGCGCCCCCTTCCCTCTGGCCCCAATTCAGCCCGTGCGCGGATGGGGAAGAGGTAGTGGATGGACAGTTCCATGCAAGAGCAGGAGGGCTCTGCTCCCAGCCAGGAGCACAGTGGAAGGCCCAGGCGGGCAGCTCTTCCACACTAGGGCGGAGGACCCTTGAAGTCAGTGGCTAGACCAGATTCCCCTCCGCCTAGCGGGAGACCCGGACTGGAAAGACTACCAGGAACTGTGAGCCCCGGATTCTAGCTTCCACTCCCTCCTTGGCCAGCAGGGGGCGCGCGTTCTCAGGTCCCACCTGCAGAGCTTGGGATGGTAGTCAATGCTAGGAAGGGGCTGGATGGGGGAAGGGTAGAAGAAGGGCCTTGGAACCAAAGAATCTTGTGCCACCATCCTAGAGTTGTGCGACTTGTGCTATTCCTGGGATGCAGACACAAATGCCACCCATCCCAAGGGCATAAGCCAGAAAACGGACAAGCAGCATCATTGTGGGATAGGCATCAGCCTAGAGGTGTGTATTGGCGGGTGGGAGCAGAAAATACTGGCTTAGCCCTAGGGCATATGATTGGGAGTGAGGTACAGACTGGAGGGATCTGCCCAGCCTCCACCGTGTCCTGGGTGGGATCAACCAAACCTTGTGGAGGAGGAAGGGGGAAATAATCATTTTTTAATAAAAGTTTGAGGATTGGGTGGAAGTATCTTTAGACTTGTCCTTCTCCAGGTTCCATAGATTATTTCCAGAGATGACCCCAAAGTCTCTCCCATCCTGCCTGCCCATTGACAATCTGACTTTGACACTTCTGCCAGAGACAGAGTCTATTTCTCCTTCCCTTGAATTTGAGCTGGCCTTGTGCCTTACTTTGACTAATAGAATGCAGAAGTGATGCTATGTGTGTTCTGAGCATAAGACTTTAGAGACCTTGCCACTTCCATTTTTGCCCTCTTGGGAGACAGCTGCTATGTAAAGAAGGAAAGGCCACATGGAGAGAGGCCCTGGAGGATAAGAGTCAGTGGAGGAGAACTGAGGTTTCCCAGGTGACTGTCAGCACCAATGGCCAGACATGTGAGTAAGGCCATCTTGGCTGTTCCAGCCCCACACCAGTTCTGAGTGAATGTAATTGTGTAAATGATCCCAGCCACAGGAAGCAGTGAAACCCTCCAGCTGAACCCAGCCAACCCACAGAATTCATGAAAAACAATAAATTGTTGTCGTTTTAAGCACTAAGTTTTGGGGTGGCTTATTACATAGCGATAAAACCAAAAAACGTATCTATTGCTGTTGAGTCAATTCTGACTCATAGTGACCCTATAGGACAGAGTAGGGCTGCCCCATAGGCTGCCCCACAAGGAGTGGCTGGTAGATTCTAATGGCTGACCTTTTGGTTAGCAGCCGTAGCTCTTATCCACTGTGCCACTAGGGCTCCTACACAACAACAGATGATTGAAATAGATGATTGAAACTCCATGAAGGGGTCAATTATTCTCAGGTCCCTCATGGACGAGAAGGATGAGGTCACTTAGGAAGCATGAATAGAGTGGTTCTTTGGATGAGGGTGAGCACCCAAAGGTGAACAATCCACATACTGTTCAGTGAACTTTGACCTGTGTGGCCTGGCTTAAAAAGATGATCTGAACCAATCAGATTCTTCTCTCTCAGGAATGTGGAATTAGGGAACAGGAGTTGGGTAGTCAACAACAGGAATAGAAGCTGAGGATGCTGTGAAAGACAGTTGGCTCCCAAGAGACCTGGATGAGTCTTAGCAAGCTGTGGTTATATTCAATGTAAAGCTATGAGTGGACAGAAGCCATCTGTGAGAAGAGTCAGGCAATCAGCAGAAAAAGAGACGGGAAAGGATGTGCAAAGGGCAGCAGAGACACCATGAGAGAGAAATCATGCTGTCCTGAGAGGAAGCTGCCTCGCTATGGTTTCCATCTCTAAATTTCCATGAGATTCTCCACATCGCTTCAGCAAATGACCCAAAGAGGAAAGTTGAGGGCTATTGGCTTTACTTGACTAGTAATCTTTCCCACCCTCTTCTAGTAACAAATCCTGCCTCCCTGGTCACAGGAGTAGGCATGTGACTTAGAACTGACCAATTGTAGGACCCTATTCCCCTGGAAGGAGCCCTGGTAGTGCAGTGGTTAAGCCCTGGGCTGCTAACCGAAAGGTCAGTGGTTCGAACTCACCCAGTGGCTTATCGGGAGAAAGATGTGGTACTTTGCTTCCATAAAGATTACAGCCTTGGAAACCCTTTGGGGGCAGTTCTACTATGTCCTATAAGATCGCTATGAGTTGGAATTGACTTGATGGCAATGGGTTTGGTTTGGTTTATTCCCCTGGACACAATGATTTAGCCAAGGATGAACACGTGACCCCAGCCAGGCCACTCTCTGGCACTTACTTATAAGGATGGTGGGAGATTTAGTTCTTTTTTCTCTGGGGTTATTAATTTGAAAGGATGTAAGCTGGAAGTCCATCTTTCCCTGTAGCAGGTGAAAGAACATGGAAGAAGTCCATCTTGCCAATCAGGCAAGACCTTTTCTCCCCTGGTGCCCAGAGATCATGGTTTGTTACCTCTCCTTCCACGTTCTGACTTGGATTCACTTCCATGGCTGAGACAGCACAACCAGCAGTGGACTTGATGTTAGGAGACCTCAGTTCAAGTCCCAGCTTTACCATTCTCTGAGCCTTTATTCCCCTGTGTGCTCGACTCAGCTGATGGAGATGTGGGGAGTCACACAAGAAGCTGCTTGGTAACTATAATGAACTGAGTATACATCAGGGGCCAATTTGTTGAGAGATGAGAGGACTTCACAGAGGAGATGATTGAGACAAGGGAGTGGGTGATCCAGGGAGGGGCAACAGCTTGTGCACAAACACAGAGGCATGGGACCTCTTAGAGGAGTGGGAGGAAATTCAGGGTGGCTCAAGAGCAGGGTGCAGGGGTAGGGTACAAATACAAACAAGGCTTTTGAGGTCAGCAGACTATGAATGGCCTTGAGGGGCATTTAAGGAGCTTGAATATCAATCACGCTGAGGGAAGAGCAGAGCCTTTGAAGAATGGATATGGTCAGATTTGTGCTTTAGGAAGATCACTCTGGCTTCTCAGCAGCAGTTAGACTGGAGTAGAGGGCAAGACTGAAGGCAGGAAGTGAACTAACCTGGTGGGGATACAGCGGAGGAGGGCCTGAGTGGGGAGTTTTTAAGAGGTGGCAGCCTAGGACCTATGTGCCCCAAAGCAGGCAGGGGGCAGGACTTCCCATCCTCCCAGTGTGGCTTCAGCTGAGAATAGCAGCCCCAAGTTCTCAGGCTTCTGAGTCACCTTCTTGGGTTCATGGTTGCCCTGAGGCCGGGTCAGCTTTCTTCCTTTGCCATAATTGCTTCCTGCCAACAAGACTGGCCTCCTCCAAGTGTCCTTGAGGAAACCCTTGTAAAAGCAGCTGAGCGTTACATGAGGAAGCAGACACCTTCAGCTGCCACTGCTCCCAACTCCCTGCAGGAACTAGCACTGCTCTGGCTGTTGCGGGTGTTCTGAGGCAAACCCTCCATCATCAACTCCGGCCATATTTGGGCCAGCATAGGGGTCACAGGGCTCTGGGCTGGGCTCCAATGGATGGTGGAGCAGATGGAGGCTGAAATTCAGCCTGTGCTTGAATTGCCATGTTGTATGCCCTGGCACGACAGGGCTGATTTGTCCAGAAGGACTATCTTTTTCTAATTAGCCCAAAGATGCCATCTAGCAGTGTATTTATGGGGCTGCTTCCATTCAGAGAGGGCGCCTTTTCCTAATTTGTACAGAAGAAGCTACATGGACTAGCTCTTGGCCTTTTTCCTCACTGCCCACTATCCACCCATTTGGACTCTCATGATGTCCTTCCACTGGACAGAGGGAGAAACTAAGTCCCAATGCCTGCTGCCATTAGCTCCCTTCTGAGAGAACTGCTTTGCCCACAGGCCCTACATATCAGGGTCCAGTTTGGCCACAGATGAGTAGGCCAAGGGAGGGCATCTGACCTAAGGGGCCCCGCCAAAAGCTAAGCTGAACCAATCAGATTCTTTTGCTTGAGAACTGCAGCTAAGAGACTTTGTGTAGGGTGGGTCTGCAGAGAGAGCCAGTCTGAACATAAACCAAGGGAAAAAGTCCAGCTGCAAATATTGCCAAGGAGATGAGAGCCCGTGAGGCCCAGATATGAGGAAGGAGAGGCCCAGTTGCCAGTTCCAGTTCTCTTGAGGCCCAGCCATTCTTGATTTTCCATCCTTAGATTCCCTTGTAATCTTAGTTCCCCCATTTCTTTGAACTAGCTAGAGTGGGTCTCTGTTTCATGTAACCACAGAGTCCTTGTTAGAACAAGGACAGCCCCAAGGAGATTCCTGAAGTAACCCCACTGTGTAAGCTCCCTCAGGCCTCTTTTCCCCGTTTCCCCTCACTCCAGCCCTATCTCAGGTCAGGGAAGAACAGGAACCCTCAGCACAGTCACACCTTTTATTTATTGTCG